AGGAGGCGGCCCTTCTCACTGGAGCCAGGCTCGGGGTAACCCTGCCCTGTCTGAGGGGGTCGTGTCTCAACAGGGAGTTGCGTCAGAGGTTTTTATAAATGCCGTAGACCACTCATCTGATGAGCTGGAAGATGCTAATTATGTTCCCAGCAAAAGAAGAAAGGAGGATGCAGCCCCGTGTGAGGTCACTGAGGCACCTTCTACAGACTCTGAGCAGGTAGTTTGCACAAATAGCTGCACGGAATGCCTCCCCCCGGGTCTGCATGCCAGTCCAGCCCCTGTACCCGCCAGTCCCTGGTCCCTGCCAGTTGGAGGCTTCTGGGAACCAGCCATCCTCTGCCCTTGGACGCTCTGCTGACGTTGCCTGTGAGCTTTATGGTGCATGTCCGCCCTGCCCATCCCTTCACCCATCACATCATTTCTTGTGAAACTCTCTCTGTGGACATCTGGCTGAACTCTCCTGGGCAAAGCTCCATGGGTAACACAAGTTCTCTTCCTGGCAAAGTGCAAGCGGCTGGGGCTGTGGGCAGCAGGGGTCAGTCCAGGCAAGTGGCCTCACATGGCACTCAGCACACCTGGGCTGTCAGGGAAGCTGTGCTCTGAGCCTCTGGTTTCTGGTCCTGACTTTTTCTGTGGCATTTCCGAGTATCACAGGGTTCTTTGACTGTATCAAGTGAGACTCACTGATACTTGCAGTGAAAGTGCTTTCGCCTGTGAAGGAAGCAAGGAAGCCTTGTTACTGAAGAGAGGTGTGGGTGAAGTCCGTCCCCTTCCCCGTTCGGATGGTGCTCCCTTTTCTCCATTTGCTCACAGGCACCTGCCACCCAAGGCTGATACTGGGAGGGGGTGGGGGAGGCTTGGTCAGACCGAAAACACGGTGGGGCGGAGGGCTTGTTCACAATGGCTACAGGAATATGGGAACTCCTTGCCTGATCAAGGCTGGGGCTGCAAGAAAGGGCGGGAGGCAGACCCAGCTGTGCAAAGGGACTTTTCCTGAGGGGAGACAGGAGGTCTCTGTTACCAGCACATCTGCTCCTGGTCAATGGTAGAGTTAGCAAAGCTCAAACGGGTTTTGGTTTTGTTCTGGCTTTTTGGAAGCTGACAAAAAAGATGTTATAGTCTATCTGAACTATAAATTGTGAGAAAGAAGAAAAATGTCTGGGAGGGTTACAGCCGGGAGACATTCTGATGGGGTAACAGGCACTTCCTCAGGGAATAGCCGGGGACCTCGGGCAGGTGTGAGCACGGGTGACAATGCTGTGTGTGGGAACAGGAGCGCCCTGAAGCTCCTGCGTGTGACAATGACGTGTGTGTGGTGTCTGAACACAGTCTTACTGTGTGGAAGAAACCAGATCCCCAAAGGAGACTGACACTGGAAAATGCAGTGGCCCTGGTTCCAGAGCCCCAGGGGACCAAAGTCTGTGGACACCCAGGTCCCTGACTGGGATGCTGTTACCTGTACCTACCCTACACGCATCCTCCTGTGTGCCTTAAATCATCTCTAGGTTACTTACCATGCCTAACTCAATGTAGGTGCTCTGTGTACCGTTGTTAAACTAATTTTTAAATGTCTTATTTTTTATTGCTTTTTCCCCTAGTATTTTCCATCTGTGGTTGGTTGGCTCTGCGGATATGGAGGGCTGAGTGTGTGCCAGATTGATTATGTATTTTAATGTGAAACAGCAGCCCAGAAGTTCTAAAAAATATACATGCGTATTCATAAAATTATGTGAACATTCTAAGCATCATCAAAAGAAAAGTTAGAAAAGTTACTATTGCCGTATAAATATCCAGAGGTTCTGTGTCAGAGACTGAAGGTACGAGCTGGAAGGGCAGTGAGGAGGCACTTAACAGCACACGGGGTCAGGACTGCTGATTCCTACGGAAACAAGGAAATAAGGCCGCAGTGCCACAGACGGGCTGGAGGACGCAGAAGGCAGTGTGCAAAGGAGACGGCAGCAGCGAGGGCACGCTCTCCACTCAGCACCTGTCACATAATGCACCTGCCCACTGCCCAGGAGGCTCAGCTCTATCAGCCAGGTTTTGTGTGTGGTTCTAAGAAGAGGGTGGGGCTGGGGCTGTTAGAACATTGGTTACCTTGACTTTCACCTTGTCTAAGAAGGAAACAATCTAGTCTGGTATATTAGCCACTGGGAATCTGTGGGTTGCAAATGAGTGCAGACCCAGTGCAGACTGATTGATACTGAAAAGGGAATAGTGCTCAGGTGCCTGGAACAGGTGGGCACAGGCAAGGCTTGGTCCAGCATCTGGACAGCATCTCTCCTCTCTTCCCGCCACCTTCCTGACCTCGGCCGCTGCCTCAGCTTCCCCAGCCACTCCCACATGTCCCATGATGGCATCTCAGCTGTCCCCAAACTGTGCTATTCAGGGACTGTCTCCTCTTGTGGTTTCTCAGAAGACAGGGAGCTTTCCCTCAAATCTCACTGGCTCCCATCCTGTCCCCAGCCCAACACTGTCCAGGGTGATGGAAGACAGTGGTGACACAAGCCCGGGGGCTGGCCCTGCAGCCGGAGTAGAGCCAACTCTTCTCACCATGTGGCTGGGAACAGGAGATTCGGGGACTGCTTCTCAGGGTGGGCCCAAGACCTGCCGTATGTGGTGACAGTGAGCACTGCATGTGCCGGTCAGCTTTCTGAGGCTCTTGGCATGCTTTGTTCCCTCTGGCCACCCTCATGATGGCCCTGTGATGTAGGGCCACCAATTATCTCTTTTACCAGTGGCTCAGGATCCACCATCACCACCCGGGTAGTGTGGTGTATTGTGGGCTGTGCTGGGGACTCAAGCGGGTTCTCCTACCCCAGACCCCTGCCACTGTGCTGCCGTCCCCTGGGACAAGAGGCTGCTGGCAGGGCAGGACCCTGTGATCGCCTCTCTAGTCTCAGCTGTCTTAGGGTCTTCTCAGCAAAGCGGAGCCGCCTGGTGCCCACAGTGGAGGTTTGGGCTTTCTGTGTCTGTTTACGGACAGTTTTGGGCTTCCCTCTTCTTAGCTGTCATCGTAGCAGCTGACCAGCCCATAACTCAAGAGGCTGACACTTGTCCCAGCTGCACTGTTAACTGGTGTCAACCTCAGCCCAGACTCCTCCAGTTGCTTCCCCGAGGCAGTGGCTGGTGAAGGCCCTGCCGGCTCGGGCTGCCCGATGGCTCAGCCTCACTCATGAGAGGCCTGGAGCTCCAAGGCCCCGCGTCTACCAGGGGCCGACCAGGTGCTGGGGCGCCCGTGTGCTAGAAGGAGTGCCGCTTAGATGTGGGGGAGGATGCTGCTGGTCCGCACAGCCTTTGTTATCAGCACACATCCCAAGATTAGCCACTCCCTGGGGCACTGGGAGTTCCAGAGGACTGGGCAGTCGCCTCCCACACTGCGGCCTTTGCAGGCAGCACTGTATCCCCACTCGCCCTTGTCCTTGGTGCCTGGGGCCACCCCACCAGCTCTGAGGACCCAGCCCTGCCTATGTGGCTGGCCTGTCTCCAGCTCTGACTCCTGAACCACCTTGGCTCAGCGATGTCCCCTCCCCTTTAGCACCACACACTGGGCCTAGTGCCACTTGTGTTGTCTCTTGACCTTGGCTTCCTGCCTGCCTGTTCACTCCACTCTTTACTGCCCCACGTAGACCCCTGTAGCAGCCACATCCCACACTAACCAGCCTTGAGTCCCAGCCTGAGCTCCCATCCCCATCACCGGCCCTCAGCTCCACTGCACCCATCTAGCCCTGGGTCAGGCCTGTCCCGTTGGGTTCTGCTGCCACCAGATGCTGCAGGGACTGGGGCTTCTGTCTGGGGTCAGAGCCATCAGAGCCACCTGCTCCATCACAGCCCTGACACTGACCCCTGCCTGTACACCCCCCGGCTGGCCCCTCACTTGACCGCTGTCCCGGTGTCCTCAGCAGTGTTTCCACACTTTAACTTCCCTCACTTTTAGCCCGTTTCAGAATCTGCCCTCGTTGGTGGATGAGTCTCCCTGTCCGCACCACAATGCACAAAACGTGCCAGCTGAGGGGTGATATCTGCTCCCGGGGACAGTATAGACGCTCTCAGAGGTGTGGTGGGTTGGTGGCCTGGGTGTGGGGGCAGGGACGAAGGCCTTGGGTAGATGGGGCTGGGGGAGTTACGGCCGTGAGTGCATTTCCTCTGAGAACAGAGACGGGGTCCCTGGGCCTGAACAGGAAAGGGCAGTGTGTTGCTCCAGCTTGTCCTGCCCTCGGGCCAGCTCAGCCCTATGCAGCCCTGTGCCCTGCTTCCTCGGGGCCATGGGGTGCTGGCCATCAGCCAAGAGACTCCTGGGGTGGCAGTGACAGGCCCCTGAGCTGCATCTGTCCTCGTCCCCCCAGCAGCTGCTGCAGAGGCTGTGTTGGCCTCTGGCTTCATGTCCGTGTGGTTCCAGGCAACTCAACCTGAGCATGGGGTGGACATGGGTCACACCCCAGCGCCTGTCTCCCACTGCCAGGTTTCTAGAGCCTTACAAGTCACCTGCTCATAACCATACGATCTGCATGTGCTGAAGAGCAGTGTCCCTGGGGGGCAAGGCCGAGTGCCAGCCCTCCTTGGGGCTTGGGGTCCCGCATACGCCCTTACAAGCTCCACTCCTGATTCCTGAGGGGAGGACACCTCCTGTGTGCGCCCAGGGCGGGGAGGAGCCCCTCGGCCCCTGTTTGCTGTGCGGTCTCCCCTCTCCCTGCTTCAGCTGGTACATGCCGTCTACTCATCACACGGCAAGACGTGTTTCTGCGCAGGCGCCGAGCGCGGCTCTGGTGGGGCCGAGCGTGTGCCCCGCAGAGCGTGGACACTGGTCCCTCAGTTCTGTCCTCTTCCTTTCATTTCTTAATTTCATTCTTTCTCATGAAGAAACTGTGGATATGATGCGTTGAGGTGACTTGGTGGAGCTAAGTTTGATGTACTTGAGAAACCGAGGAGAGAACTGGAGGAAGCCTTGACTGGAGAGCAGTAACGGAGGGAGTGAAATGCGTGTCTTTCTTTCTGTGTAGAGCAAAAAGAAGAGGAAGAGGAGCCGGAAAAAGAGGAACGAGGGGAGCGCGTCCCCAGAGCTGGACTCCCTGTCCCTGTGTCCTTCCAGCCTCCAGAGTCTGAATTCGCTTTCAAATCTTGAGTCCCAGGACACAGCCCTGCCCCAAAGCCAACGTCAGCAGGGTGGGCCCGGCCAGCCCAGCCAGCCCCTGGGCACAGGCGGGGCTCCACTGGAGAGTGACAGCCCCTTCTCGCTGGTACACGGGGAAATTGGTGACAGTGCCCTACAGGGTCAGGCTGCAGGAAGACCAGGAGCACGGTCAGAAGGCTTGGCTCAGGGCGGTCCCCCACCCCAGGGCCAGGTGGAAGGCAAGGACCAGGACTCTGCCATCCCCTCTGGGGCACCCCAAGAAGGGGCTGGTCCCACCACTTCTGCGCGTGAAGGCCACCCTGGGGACAAAGATGCCGCTCCCAGGCTTTTGTTCTCTGAGTCAGGAGGGGGCAGTTCTGAGCCCAAGATGGACCCACAGAGTGCCAGACAGCAGGCAGAGGCCCCGGCCCCTGGGGTGAGTAGTCGGGAAGTGGTGGCACCTCACGCCCTCGACTGCTGTGCTGTTCGGTGCAGCTTCAGTGTGGCTTCCCTGTTTGGGAGGGTCCTTGGGGACTTGCTCCCAGGCTGGGGCTTCAGGGCCTGCACCAGGCGCTGACCCTGTCCTTTGGCTTGTTATATGCGCAGACCCATCAGCTGTGAGTTCAAGTCTCTCTGGTCCATGTAGTCACCTTGACTCTGATGCTTTGGGGTCCTCATTCCTTTCAGGCAATTAAAGCTACAACTGGGCTGGCTGATTCAGTTAAAGGGGCCAGCAAGGAAATGAAAGACAAGACTCCGAAAACAGAGCCGCCACCAGCAGCCCCTCCTGCCTCGAAGAGACACGGCCAGGTGAGCTGTCCTTCCTCCTCCCACTGCACCTGTAGCCCCTCCTGCCCAGTGAGTATTATCAGGTGTGAGGGGCGCAGCATGGAGCAGGTGAAGCCCCACCTGCATGGGGCTCACGTTCTGGAGAAGAGAAAGACCAAAACCCAAGCCAGGCAGTGAGAGATGTTGCGAGAGAGAGGAGGGACGTGGGGCAGGGTCGGGGTGGCACCGGGGATGGTCCCAGTAGCCAGCGAGGCCGGGCAGGGTTCCCCCCTCCCTCAGAAGAGCGTGAGGGGCAAGCCACAGAGATGTCTGGGACGTGTCCAAGGAAAGGCCCTGGGCTGGGCTGTGGTGACCTGTTCTAGGGCAGCAAGGAAGCTGCCCCCACCGAGAGGTGTGAGCAGTGGGGAGACTGCAGATGAGGCTGGAGACAGGCAGCCTCAGTGGCTATGCTCAGTGGCAGGGAAGGGATGTGGCCACTCTGCCCCTGTGAGAAGCATCGGCTGTTGGACAGGGCCATTGTGGAGCTGCCTTGAAGTCTGGCACTTGCTTGCTTCAGGAAGTAAAGACCAAGGACAAGACTGTCCTCACTGGTGAGAAAGCTGGTGAGAAGGAGAGAGGGCAAGGGGAAGACCCAAAGAAGCCAGACGGGAATAACAGAAGCTACGCGGCCGCTGTGAAAAAGGAGAAGGAGCAGAAGGAGCAGAAGGAGCAGAGGAACCAGACGGCCAGCGCCCGGGAAGAGAAGGCCGCCCGGGAAGAGAAGGCGAGGTGCGGTGTTGCCCTGGCAGGGAGCTGGGAGGCTGAGGGCCAGGTGCCAGCAAGTCCAGGCTGCCGGTTCAGCTGTGGGGGAGGCGTTCAGCTGCTCTAGAGGGGGAGGGTGGGGGAGGGGCACCTGTCCTCCACCTCTTTCCTTCAATTCAGGGTCCCAGGAGTCCCAGTGCTGCAGGGAGCCTGGGAGAGGCTGTTGCCTCCCAGACTCCTGCAGGTTCCCCCTGTGCTGCCTCCAGCATTTCAGAAATGGGGTGGAATTGGCCACTTTCTTCTTCCTTCATTTTAGAGGGACAGAGAAAGGACCCACGTGGTAGGCAGTATGAGATGTGGACCCGATTCCAGGGTGTGTTAACGCACTAAAAAAACGCACAAACAAAAAGAAAAATAAGGAGCTCCTGTGGGCGTCCTTGTGTGCCCTCAGATGGGCAGAGTTTGCTATAATCACACTTCCTTTCTGGCTCTCCCCAGCCTGTCGAGCCCTGGAGAGAGCATCATGGTGTACTTCCACGCAATCCTCTCCAAGGACTTCGGGTTCAACCCAGATCGCCATAAGTTATTCATCAGAGGCGGGAAGGAGTTCGGGCAGCCCGAGTGGAGCAAACTCGTCTGTGAGCTTCAGTGTACCAGGTATGTCTCCAGGAAGCACCCAGACTGTGGTCTGTAGTGAAATAATGACTTCTGTCATGTAGGTCAATGATATTCTCAGACTTTTGCAGGATGACTGTTTCAGTCAAACCTCCCTGGCCACTGCTTTCTGTTCTCCTGGCTTGTGTCTGGAAGCCATGTCCTGTCCTAGAAGTGTCCCCTTAGCCGCGTGGATGTGCTCCTCTGGCTCTGCACTCCAGGCTGACATGCCCAGTGTAGGATTGTCGGATAACTGGCTGTACCCCGTTTATTCGCAGAGACTTAGGTGAGCACGGCTGTCTCGTGGAAGGCAGTGCTGTCGTTTCCAAGCAGCACCTGGACAGAGCCATCCCTTACAAGTACGTCTTCTACAATGCTGAGAAGGGTGACAAGGGCGCCTGGCAGTATGAGTTCATCTACAAGCAACCGCAGAAGAACGAGCACGTCAACCGCTGCCTGTGCATCAAGGCCTCACTCCTGGGCTCCGGAGGTGAGTGTGGCAGCCAGGTCTGCGGAGGACAGACTTCGCCTCATCCTGCACATCCTCTCTGCTCCCCAGTGTCCAGCGATGCCTTGACTTTGGAGTCAGTTAAAGATGAGTTGGCCTCTCCCTTCAGCTCCCCGTGACTTGTCTACTCACTAGTAGGAGGAAACGGGAAGGGAAGGGGGAACAAATGAAGCCGGAGGGAGGGCTGGGCTGGGGTATGACAGCAGGGGGCCGGCGAGAAGGTGACCAGAGGGCAGACACCTCCTGGGCCCTGGCGCCCTGGGTACCTCTAGTTCACCTGCTCACTGCCTAAACCCTGCTGGCGGGGATTCCTGAGCTGCAGCTGCTTCCCTCTTCAACCTCTCTTGGGTATCTGCCCTCTTGGGGGCTCCGCCTGCAAACTCTGGATGTCTTGGTCAACCTGGACCCCAGGTCTGCCTCTAGCTCAGGGTGTTGGGTGCTGCCCCAGGCCACCTCCTGCACAGTGGCCTGGAGACTGTAGGAAATAAGTAAGCTGCAGAGTTCTATCCTGTCCCTCATTGCCTGGTGTCCAGTGCCCAGTGTCTTGAGAACAGCTGTTTTATTTTGTCCATTTGTTTAGTTGTTTTAGGAAGACACAGAGAAGTATAGATTTAGTCCCTTTGATTCTGTCTTGGACAAAGACAGATGTCCTGATAACTGTTTACAGAACGCTGTTTTTTCTTTCTTTTGTAAATGTAACTTTTAATAGCTAGATCCCGTATTCTGAGAAATTAAGCTTTAAGAGAATAGGCATTAGCCTAATAATCCCATAAATAAATATGGAATTCCTGCCATGATAAATTCTGTGATATGGGTACCCCAGCTACAGGGGTACATACAGGAAGTCAGCCTGGAGGTCAGGAGACGCTTGCCCGGCAGGACAACTGAGTCCAGAGCTAAGCAGTCCCAGTCCTGCTGGGTAGGGTGGGGTGGAGTGGTTGGGCCTGCCAGGAAAACAGCAGCAGGTGCAGGTTGGCGCAGGCCCCAGGAAGCTCTGTGGACACTGGACTGTCCAGCTGACTTTCTCTTATCTCTGTGTGTCCATGTGGCATCTGGTCATCTTGCTGACCTTTCTTGCTTATTAATGACTTTAGAAAGTTGGCCTCATTGGGTATCATAGGGATTGTATGCATACCCTTGGCACCTAATCCTGAGTTCAGCCGTGAATTAGCTCTCACTGTATGGTGGGTACTGTGCCCAGGGCTGTCCATTATGGGGTGCGTGTCCCTGTTCCTAGGACAGAGCAAACCAGCTAAGGAGCTGGGACGGTGCCCACTATGGGCAGGTGGCACAGTTTCATGTAGCTGTGTGAGCCCTGTTTGTGTTCAGGCCCTCGTCCCCCAAGTTTGCTGTACCATAGTTACACGTCTGTGATAGGTGCTCTCAGGCCCACTGAACCCTGAGAGCTGGGGTCTCCCTGTCCCGACTGGGATGCCTGGTGTCTGTCTGCCCCGGGGGCGGGGGCAGCAGGGGCAGCAGGGCCCTGCGCTCTGGCATCGGTCCCCAGTTCTTCAGTTTTCCTTCCTTTCTTCCTCTGTGGTGCATCTGCTCCATGTTTCTGCTGGTCACGGTCAGCCTTCTAAGCCCGTGTCGAGGCCTCGATGACCATAGGTGTGGTATTGTTCTTTCTGTCCCTGTCAGACTGGCATCAGTACGATGACATAATTTGTATGCGACCTCCTGGGAAATTGCAGAAAATTGTGAACTATATAGTGGACGGGACAACGAAGCAGCTGGTGCAGGGGAGACATATCGCAGCAGCCGTCATGCTCGACAGCGTCTTCAGCATCCTGCAGGCCTGGGATGCCGTCAACCTGAGCAGCTTCTTCACCCAGCTGCAGCAGTTCTTCTCCGTCGTGCAGAAGCCCATGATTTATGAAGGACACGCACAGCCGTGGAGCTCTCTGCCCTACGGGGAGCAGGAGGTACCAGGTTTCTAGTGTGTCACCAGCGGCCCCACCCTCTGCATAGGCCATGCCACCTGTCTGCAGGTGTCTGAATGGGCCTGTGTCCCCTGGGCCCGGGTGGGACAGGCCACCCTGTCTGTCCCTTTCCTCCTAGTGCTGCCTGGGGGGCCTCCCCACCCTCCCTGTGTTGCTCCCTCTCCTGGCTGCACATCTGAGCCCCTAGCATCACTCCTGAGTCCTCCCTGGCCTTGGGTATAGTGAACAGAGGGTGGAGCACTTTCACCTATGCTGTGGGGTGTGGCCTGGGCAATCTTGAGGCAGCCCTGGAGCCCCTTCCGAGGTGACAGTTGAACCCTCTTCAGCATCACATGGTCCCCTGGCAGTCCCCCCAGGCAGGGTCCCTACAGTGCGCGGCTTACAGTGGTGCCACAGGGAGGAAGGGGCGCCCAGCTGTCCGCAGAGCCCACCCTGCCCCTCGGGCATCCCCAGCCAGCTGCTGAGCCACGAATGTCCGGCGATGCTGATGGGTGGCCCTAGACCCCTCCAGCAGACTCAGCCCCCAGCTTCACGCATCTTCCTTTCCTCCTGGGACCAGGCGAAGAATGACCTGTGGGGGTACTTGAAAAAGCAAATGGAACCGTTTCTGGAGAAAAACCGTGGGGACTCTCCGCCTAAAGACCAGCCCGTGAGGAGCAAGCTCAGAATGGGCCTAATCGTGCTTTTCTCAGTGGAAAACTTCAACCTCACCTTGTCAGAGAATGAGCAGACCATGCTATGCTACCTGCTCGTCCCAGAGGCCAGTTCACCAGATGACCTTCACACTGACCTAAGCCACATCCTCGGGACGTCTCAGAGGTACTGTCAGTTTTTTTGTCAAAAGATTTAATGGCCATTTATAGTGACTTTATCTGATTACAAAAATAAGTGCTTGACCTAGAATGGCTGTATACAAGGAAGAAATCAAAGCACCATATTTTCACCACTAACTGTCCTCCAGCCTTCTTGCCGGCACGTATAGCATTTTTAATTTTATTATAATCTACATTCTGTTGAGTACCCTGTTTTTTAAGAGCAGTGTGGGCCCTCTCCCACAGCAGTGACGGCCTTGGGCTTGCTGGGGAGACCTGCTTAGACCCTTCTGAACTCTGATGGTCACAGGGTCTGTCGCTGTGTTGATTTGAAATAGAATGACATTAGGTAGATTATACTAAGACATCTGCCTCTTGGTGTCCAGACTGAAGACACCCAACACCACTCTTTTTTTTTTTTTTTT